AACTCGTTAGGGTCACCATGGAATTCTGGCACTTTGAGCTCGCTACTAAGGAGGCGTTGCTCGATTGTGAGGGAGTTCATTGGGTGAACTAGTGTCGCTTGAGGTTCTGATTCTCTCTGCGCTGTCACGGCTGGAGTAGTGTTGTAATTGTTCTTTATGAGTGTTAGCGTTGCTTCTTGACAATCTAATTCAGTTAGTCTTTTGTCGAGTTGTTGAGTGATCTTCCCTGCGAGGTTAAGTAGGGTGTCCCCTCGTTTGTCTTCCCAGTGTGCATCAAGTTGGGGTTGAAAGGTAGTATCGTCACTGTTGCTGGAAGCTTGAACAAGTGCTTCATACAGTGCGCCCAGCTTATCGGATTGTTGCTCTATTCTACGTTTAAGATTTGTAAGCGTTATTCTTTGTGTGGTTATGAAAATTTTAAGATCGGAGCTCTCAGTTGGGAAGACCCAAGTGGGACTGTATTCATTAGCCTCATCTAATAGCGCTTCGAGAGTGTGTACGTGTCTCGTTAGTTGTTGTTTAGCGGTGGTGATTTTGGGAGCAGATGGTGTTGTCGAAGTAGTCATGGACGGATGAGTGAGGTCCTAGCCGCGGGATGCGTTTATATACTCTATGAAGTGGGCGGAAAAGGGGCGGAGCTTAGGTGTGTGGTAGTGCGGTCGTGAGTACGGTAGGAGTTTCGTCAATCAATAACTGGGTGTAGCATGTTCGTGAAAAGTGATATAAGTAACAAGAAATGTGGAATGTTTACGATGATGTGGTGATAGGTAGGGGGTCTAATAGTGCTGATGTTGTTAATTAGTATTGCAAGTGGATCGTTGCAAACAGAGAACTAGAAAAAAAGGGGTGGCTACTATGCAAAACGAAGAGAAATGTGTTGTCTAGGTAGTGTTGTCGGATGAAGCTTGAGAATCTATTGTTGATTACTATTTGAAGGGTAGGGAGATTGCGGAGTTGAATGACGCCATTGTGCGAGATCGCTAACGGGGGGCATCTTTACTTGTGGAGTGTTGTTCACAGAATGACAGGAAGGAAGAGACTGTTGAGATTGTTGGTGGCCGGGTTGGAAAAGCAGAGCTGGGTATGGCTGATAGTTGATTGGTGAATGTGTGGGACTGTAAAGGGTTCTAGGAGAAATTGTTTGGCTAGGACTCGTTGACACTTGAGCTCGATTAACCGTTTTTCCAGTGTTCGTGAAATGGTCGCGGCAGCTTTTATGATAGTGCCTCCTCCTAGATCTACCCATAGACTATCAAACTCCTGAGAAACCTCCTCAGCTCGCTGGGGAGGTAGTTCAGCAAGAGTTGAGCTCGCGTGAACATAGGCTGACCAAAGTATAGCGCGTTGCTCTTGAATTCTTTTCAGAAGGTCGCGGACCGTTAAGGTTTTAGTAGTGATAAAAATTTTGAGGTGTCTATTTTCTAGTGGGAGAGTCCACGGAGCGCAAAACTCGTTAGGCTTCTCGCAGCAATGATTTGAGTATATGGATTTGAATATCGAAGTGTTTTTTCGTCGCTCTAAGATTGAAGGTGGAAGTGGTCATGACTGTGAATCGGAGTAGAGTGAAGTGTCTGATGTGAGCCTCGTTTATATACCCTCTGTGCTGAGGAAGAAGGCGGTGTCATATTGAAATAGTAAGATGGTTGTAAGTAATAGAATAACGGGGACGCCTAAATTTGACGTGAGTTATATGTTTAGTCATATGTTCGGCTGGTGCTCGAAAATCGATTTAGGCTGAAAACAAGACCTACTGCTAGTAATCTTTTTATTCAACCAAAGATATAAAAATGAAAGTTATAGCAATAGAAGAATATAAGGAAGTCTATGATTAATCAAGGGTGTACTGGAAATGACTGTTAGAACCTAAGATGTGTTCACATTGGGAATTGGTGAGGGCAGAAGGCAGAGTTATGGCGATGCATGAGATTGGTGCGACCATCACGTCGGCAGAAAAAGCATTGCAAGTTTGACTCGCATGAGGTCGCAAGGTGATTTGCTTCTCTCAAGCAGCGTTCGCACCTGTTTCGGCGTTGACATTGCGCACGGCGTTGGGATAGCGTTTGATAGTGTGGACACTGTGATGCCCAGTGGTCGTCTGCGCAGAATGCGCAACAGTTGGGTGCTGCGCCTCCTCTATTCTTGGAAGTAGTAATAGTGTTGTGGGATCGATTTTCTTCCTGCGTGGTATGTGATCTTGTCTGGTGACGAGTGTATTTGTAGTCCTGAATAGCGTGAACGAGTTGTTGAGGCGCTCGATGTTGGAAATTTTTTGTTCCAGTGTCTTGAGGATGTCCTAAAGTGAAAGTATATGAAATAGTACAGAAATGATAGTGTCCTGGGGAAATTACCTCATCGACTGATGTTTTGTTTCGTTTTATTTCGGGTTCGTTAAATGATGTCTCCCCATGCGTCCGTTTTTGGTTATCGGTGACCGCCTTTGTCAATGTGGTTATCGCGGAGCGGAGGGCGTTGAGCTCTTCAGATACGTTGTGGTGCGGTGGGGAATAGTCTTCTTCTTCTCGGTCGAGTAGTAAAGTGGTGCTGTAATGGTCATCTTCGGCGGCTTCTAGTGACGGGTTGTGTGCGTGTTCATATGCAGCCGTGTCGTCAAGTTCTTGCACATAGCTTATCGTCGGTGTTCTCAGCCATACCTGAAAGAAAGGTCTGTGTGGTGAACATTGGGGAGCTCGCGTTGAGTCGCTATAGCAGAAGCAATGTCCTAATATGTCGGTTAACAGTAAAGCTAATGTGGCTAGCAGGAGTGCTGATAGTAAGCGGGGTGGAGCTCCTTTTATAGTGGAGGGGGATGTTGTCATATTACTTGACGTCATGAGGCTACGAGGGGATTCTCTATGGAGAGACTACCTAGATCATCCAGAATGTTTAACAGACCATATACTATGTGTAGTGTCCGTCGTGTGCCTGGGAGTAATCTTCGTGAAACCCGCCCTTAGATGTGTTGGTTGTCGCGGCTATGTAGAACATCGGAAGAAGGATCAAGCAGCTATGTTAGAAGTACCGGGCCTCGACAGGGTGTTTGCAAAACTTGGTCGCTAGTGGGCATTGATCTTTCGAGCATACGGATGGTAGCGGGCATCATTGTCGCTAGGCTATCACTAACGCGAATGCGGCGGCGGTCTCGAGCGACATACTTTAACGTGTTTATAAACATCGGCTGGTATGCCGTTATGCGTCTGTAAAGTGTCCGTGTATGTGTCGTGATGTGCAACGAAAACTGTTACAAGTTTATTGTACCCCCTTTTTTCCAAATCAAGAACCTTCTTAAAAGTCGTCAATCAGGTCAGTCAATCGAGTCAAGTGTAAAAAAAATCAAGCCAAGTGTAACAGATGAAACCAAGTGTAAAAATCGAGCCAAGTGTGAAAATCGAACCATGTTCATACGATATGTGACATCTTGAACTTTTGGGAAGTTTTGAGCGACCCTCCTGGGTGGTGCTATTTATCGTTTCTGGAAATTCAAAGTGAGCCGTGAAGCGAACTAACCCTCTATTGAACAAGTGTTCAGTACAGTCTTCTACGGGAGCGGACTGAACGACCCAGAGTGCAAGCAATAGGGAGAAAATCAACGCGGTGAAACGGGCAAAGTTCAAGATGTCTATAAAATGTGACAAACGTGTGTAATGTCAATCTATTGTAAATCCTCAGTTCGCGTCATTTCGGGGCTCCGGCGCAGCAGGATAACGTTCCGCGTGGAGAACAAAGCAGATCATTGTGTGCAGCGTGCCTTCGAGTTGTGTAAGTCGTGCATCAATCGTTTGTTGGCGTTGCTGAAAACGAAGTGTTATCAACTTGTGTAACTTATGTCCTTAACCTACAGTGCAACAGTAGAGGAGTCATGTGAATACTTACTAGTAGCATGGACGTGACTTGGTGAAGATGGGCAAGTTCCGCGAATGCGCGGTTGAAGGTGTCTTGAACAGTCATCACGCGGGGGGGCAGCTGCGCGTTATCGTTCATCCTAAAGGTGTTAGTAAAATAAATGGGTTGGAAATGGGTTTGGTGACTTAAAGAGAGAGGTGCGTATTCCTAATTAACCGGACGGGTCAGCCATCCACAAGAGGCTTTCCCCGCTGGTTAACTTGGACTGGATGCCTCTGGTGCCTCTCCAACACAGTGCTAAAGTGGATCTATAAGCGTCAAATGGAAAAAAAAGGAAAGAAAGAAGTGTCCCACCTCAGCTGCGCGATGTAGTGTGCGGTGGCGTAAACCTAAGGGGGGGGGGGAATGGCGTTTTTATACCGTGGATGTGAGCTGGGGTGTGGGATTAATCTCTAAGTTGCTGTGGTATGTAATGTTTCTTGCATGTTCTTCTTTTCTGCGAGCCTATTCGTTTTGATCCATCTTTATATTTTCTGGCGGGCATAGACTGTCCGTGGTATATAAGTGAACTGTGGACCGATCGTTCTCTGGAGTGGGCGGCGCTACAGTTGTTTTCTCGCGTGTCAATTAAGGTATGTTGCAATGTTCACCGCATTGATGTGCGCCGCATCGATGTTTGCCGCAGAGAGACCATATATAAAGAGAGCGCTAGACGACGAGAGTGGACCGCGACCAAGAGCTGCGGCAGTGGCAACACCAGAGTTCGTTTTTCTGTGAGGGTGATGTGTGTGCAATGCATCTGGTCAGTGTGGATCACTGTCTTTGTAGTGTCGTGTGTATTGCAATATTACGCTATGGTGTATTCGCGTGCGATGAAGTGTCATTTACGTATCGGACCGTGTCTTTCGCTAGCCTACTCTCCCAATGTTCGTAATCGTGCCTTTACCGTACCGTAATCAAAACTGTGTTAATAAGTCGACCCGTGTCGCAAGTGAATGTTATAGGGTAGAGATTATAGAAGTATGTGCTGTGCCCTTGTGTATTTTAATTTTATTAGTAAGTCATAAAATCAGTAATAAGTCCAATCCAATATGCAATCTATCCATCAAAGCAATATTAATCGATATTTTACGCATTGTATAATAATCAAACAAAGGATTAAAGTAATCGAATGTTTTATTCATCCTCGTCGGAGGAGAAAACTCCGTCTTCTTGCTCCTGGCCCGAATCGTCCGAGGCGGAGTCGTCAGAAACAACCGGGGATGTGGGAGTCAGTGGCCTGTAGAGCCACAGCCTCCAACGGTGCAGCTGGTACGCGTGCTGCCAGGGTATTTCGAGGAATAATAGACGGAGTAGTTCGTCTTCATGCTCCGGTAGCGGCGGTTCAAACCACGGATGATAGCGCACAGGAATTTGTCCTTGGGGGTCGGGCAGTGGATGGAAGTACGGGTCCTCTCGCCATCTTGCGATGGGGTCATAGGGTTCGAGGTTCACTACCTCGCGACGTGGGACTGGAGGGGGGCTGGGAGGGGGAGTTTCATTGTTTTCATTGTTTTCATCGTCGTGTAGCGACGGGGCGTCGTCAGAATGAATAGAGTCCCGGTCGCTATCCGAGTCGCGGTCTGATGGTGATGGCGAAGACATTATACTTTCAAGCAGTAAAACCGCGCAAGCAGAGAGGGGCTTTTATATTGTAGCAGATTCAGACGAAGATTAAAAGGATGGGATAGTGTTTCCATGAGAATCTGCGAGAAAAGTTTTCCGTTGATATCTCCGTTAGCGTATTTCTATTGTATGTAGTGTGCACTGGTGTACTACACTTTTATTATTAACTGAAGAAGCAGGTGTTAATTAGCAATGATTCTAATCAATGTTTATGGAATCAATCGAATCAATATCCAATGTATGATTTCTATTATATTGTATGCATATTATAGCAGTCAACAAGGGTTAAAGTTAGACGTTTGTCCTAAGAGAAAAAAGATCACTTGACGCTTCTACTCATTTTCGTCCGAGGAGTAAACCCCCTCTTCTTGCTCCGGCCATGAATCATCTGATTCGTCGGAGGCAGTAGACGAGCGGGGAGACTGTGGTCTATAGAACCTGAGCGTCTGACGATGGAATTGGTAGGCTCGCTGCCAGGGTAAAGTAAAGTACAATAAATGGAGTAGTTCGTCGTCCTGCTCCGGCAGTTGTGGTTCCATCCATGGGTTGTACCGTACAGGAACCCTTCCTTGTAGGTTGGGACGCGGGTGGAAAAAGGGGTCACGGAGCCATCGTAGGACTGGATCCCCAGCCTCGAGCTCCACGACCTCACGACGTGGTGGGGGACTGGGAGGGGGGGTTTCCGGGTGATTCTCGTCGTGTAGCGACGAAGCAGTAGAATGAACAGATTCACGGTCCTCGTCAGACGCTTCATGGCCGCTCTCGTCGTATAGCGACGGAGCACTGGAGTTGAGCGTTTCGCGGTCTTCGGAGGAACACGAGGACGCTGAGGACATTGTTAACTTTTGGACTAAAGCTGCGCATGGAAGATAGAGCTTTTATACTCTAGAAAGTGCAAAGATCAAAAAGGGGTATATCTTTTCCCATGAGAGTTTGTGGATAGGTTTTCGTAGAAGTTTGCGAGGTTCCTCTTTCTCTGCAAGACGTTGGCATGTCTTTTTTTTTTTTTTTTTTTTTTTTTTTTTTTTTTTTTTTTGTTTTGTAGTCTGTGGTCAGATATAGTCCTGTAAAGTGAAGAGGCGTACTTAGAAAACTAATGGATACTCTTAATTGATCGGTATATCAGATTTGTCTTGAGTTATAATAAGACGAATAGTGAGTGTGTACATGTTTTGTGATCGAAGCGTCTAGAAGGTCGACGGCTGCTCAATAGTTGTATGACTTCTGCTTAGTATAATTGGTTTCATTAGGTCCTGTATCCAGTAGTTTTTTGCAAGTATGAAGGTGTGTTGCAATCGAAAGTTCATTGATCACGTGGAAGAGGCGTGTCTGTACTGTATTGCAATATGTTCCGTGAGTCTTCTTACGCGTTGAGTCGAAGGTTACGTATGAGTCATCAACAGTTGGCGTGTGCTGACTGGCTAGTGCAGCGTCATTCGGCAGCGAAGCTCTCATGTTGTTGATCGGGTGACGCGGGAGGGGGTCAGCTGCGATCAGCTGATGGTTGGGAGTGCGCCGCGTCGATGTCAATGCAGAGGTTTGAGGAGATAAGATGTGTTATTAAGGCACGAATTTTCACATGGTAAGTGATAACGTGTAGTGTGGGTTGTGCGCATTGAGTGAGGCGTTCTCGTAGGGTCTGGATCTTAGAGATTTATAATGCAAAGGTGTACACAATCATGCCGAAATGCTTTTTTTTTCTTTTTGGTGTGACTTCGTGTGATTTGTGATCCGGATTAATTCTGCAAGGTGTCACTTGGTGTAGCTAGCTAGCTTCTAATGTGTACTCTCGGTGGTGGCGCCGATATTCTGAAGACAGACTTAAAAATCTGCATTTTCTGAGGCAGATATACAAGTCTCCATTTTAGGACGGCAGACATACAAGTCTCCATTTAGGACGGCAGACATACAAGTCTCCATTTAGGACGGCAGACATACAAGTCTCCATTTAGGACGGCAGACATACAAGTCTCCATTTAGGACGGCAGACATACAAGTCTCCATTTAGGACGGCAGACATACAAGTCTCCATTTAGGACGGCAGACATACAAGTCTCCATTTAGGACGGCAGACATACAAGTCTCCATTTAGGACGGCAGACATACAAGTCTCCATTTAGGACGGCAGACATACAAGTCTCCATTTAGGACGGCAGACATACAAGTCTCCATTTAGGACGGCAGACATACAAGTCTCCATTTAGGACGGCAGACATACAAGTCTCCATTTAGGACGGCAGACATACAAGTCTCCATTTAGGACGGCAGACATACAAGTCTCCATTTAGGACGGCAGACATACAAGTCTCCATTTAGGACGGCAGACATACAAGTCTCCATTTTTCTGGCACGGGCCCGGCGTTTTTTTTTTTTGTTTTTTTTGTTTTCTTGGTTTTTTTTTTGTTAGGGATCCCTTTGTTGAATGTTTTGACCTGTAAGAATGTTCAAGCAAAAAGAAAAGGAAAAAAATGTAGTAGGCAAGTCGTTTCATATTGATGAATGCTTTTGCTGGCGATCGTGCTTCAATTCTACGGTTGAGCGTGTCGACGTTGGACTGAGATCGGGTTAGTGTTGAGCGTGTCGGCGTCAGACTGAGATCAGTGAATGAAGCACGAATGAAGTGTAGCGATCTGTGTGAAGTGTTATGCAAAGGGGGAGGATTCGTGTCGCCTGGTAAAGTTTTCCTAGTGTCTTTGAATAGAAGTGCTACAGAGGTTGTTCATCATAACGGGGAAAGACTGTCTCCCGCGTGTCTTCCAAAATATGTGAGTGTTTAACCGAGATAATTTGTGTAGTTGAGACTTCTAAAGAAAGAGGGATGTGTGCGTATCTGTGTTACGTGATTCGAGTTCTGAATGTGGCCGATGCACCATGTTGTGGTGTATCGGTAGATGTAGTGTGTGTGTGGGCGGTCCGTAGTTGTTAAATCGGCCGATGCACCATGTTTTGG